GAGGTGACCGCGGGCCCCGCTGCCGGTACCGGTGCTGGGTTTTTCCAGGGGCCTGTAGTAGATGAGGGCGCCCAGCGTGGTCCAGGCCCCCAGCGAGTAGAGCAGCGCGGCCCTGGCGTTCCACGCGGCCGCGCGCTCCGGCTTCATCGCCGCCCGTGCGCACGCGTGGGATGCCCCGCCCCCAACCGGGCACGCGCAGAAGGGCGGGACAACCGCAGGGGGGCGGGGCCGGACCGTGAGGGAAAAAGGAGCCAAGGTCTGCTCATGATGGCACTAACAGCGGGATTTGGGAACAACACAAAGGAGCAGCGCTCCTAGCCGGTTTTATTTTTCATTAATACAGCCATCTTCTTGCTGTGACACCTCTTAAGAACATTAAAAGTTAAGCTAAAGGCTGTCCAAATCCCTGTTGGCTAAAACACCTTTCAACTCTAATTATGATGTGTGGAAAATGCCGAGTAAGCAGAATATAGACAAACAGGAATACAAATAAATTAGAAGGGAGAAGTAAAAAACTCTCCCTGAATGTTTATTTCGTGTAACAGTTAAAATTCCTAGTTTAAAAGAGAGAAAAGGAAATATAAGTAAATTGCTCCACTCCTGTCATCGACACAATTCGTGTAAATTGTCTGCTCCTGCTGCTCAGTTCGAAAAGTCACGATGCACTTGAAACTGCCAGCTTTTTGAGGTGGTCCATGAATACCTGGAGACTCACATCATCTGTCAGGATTGGAGCTCCTGATTCCTGCAGAAAAGATAAAGAGATAATGAGCCTATACTGTTGCTAACACAGGGGACAAAGTGAAAGCAAATCAAGTGTCAGCACTCTGAACCAATTGCCTGCTACAACAACCACCTTTTTCTCCTGCAAAAGACAGATGCTACTCTTTGGCAACAGCGCTGACATTATCCTCTTGTACAAGCTGAATTGCTGCAGGGGAATCTCTTCTTCCTAAAGCACTAGGAATTTTGCTGTCCAAAGCTCTAAACAAACGAGGTAAGCAAAGAGGATATAAAAGTCTAGTATTCTCAGCTAAATTAGATCTATATGTATCCATATGCTAGTTGCTTTTTCCAGAATACTGGAAATGTATGACATCCAAGCTTGAAAACCCCATTCTGATCATCCAGTGCTGCCCACCAGTGCTGTTTATCTTAACAACCATGACAAGGAACCAAAGACAGATGTAACACTGTTTGTGGCCACTTGGTGAGACAGGATAGCTACTGCACACACAAACATGTCCATGTCTATTTAACTGCATTCCCAAACATGAACAGCTCTTCCATTGCTTACCTGGCCCCAGGCATAGAGGTTATTGTGGGTTTGGGAAGGATTCACTTTAGACAAGAGGAACCGGGCCTATAAAGACAAAAGAGGAGGAGTTTGGTACAACAAGACCTGTCAGGCTTCATCTCACCTCAGATGCATGACCAGCTATGTTTCTCTGCTTTTGCAAGGTACTAATTTAACTTAAGCAGGTTTCAAGTCCAGAAATCCCTGTTCCACAGACAATTTGTCTCCCAGGGGCAATGAGTGCCATGCTTTAGCAGGCTGTGCTTGCCTGGCAGGGCAGTTCTGATTCCATGGGACAGGAATCCATGGTATAGAGAACACCAGCACTGTTCTTCGCCCCATACCACATAGGCTCTTCTGAAAAGGGCTCGGTGCAAGACAAGTGCAACAGGGTCACATCAAAAATCAACACCATATCTTTGGTTTGGTCCATCAGTTCCTGCCTCTTCACTGCTACAAACAAGCACAGCACACTGCAACTCCAGGAAGAGCGAAAATAAGAACTATTTTATACCCTCATTCAGTGTTTAAGAATGAAGAAAACAGATGGTCAATCATTCAGCATTACTGTCCTACCAAGCTAACTATAGGCACATACCTGAATCATTCATTTCCCACCTTTTTACTGGGGAATAAAAACTTTTTTTTTTCCCAGTCGGCTTTTCCATTTATTTTTTCCACCCTCAGATTTCATAAGCATATCCAGAAAGTGATCAGCTTCTTAAAAGACAGAGCTGTCGTAAAAGCTGATAAGAAAATATGCAAGCTCTATTTTGAAGAGCTAAACTGTGTTTGACTACTAGAACCATCCTTTCAGAAAAGCAGAATGAGCCATTTGCCCTAGGCAACAACAGAAAGAGTTCCTCCAAAAACTTCCTTACCTGACTGCCCCCATAGGCAACAACAGAAAGAGTTCCTCCAAAAACTTCCTTACCTGACTGCCCCCATGCTCAGTGTGGATGTAACGTGGCATTGGGAATCTGGTCTGCAAGATTTCCTGGGCATCATCCAGTGGGGCCTGCAGGAGGTGCTTAAAGTTTTCGTATTCAGGCATGTCTTGGTATCCAGCTTTCTGCCACTGTGCAATAGTCTATTGATGGGACAGGAAGTTAAAAAGGAGCAGAGCTGTCTAGGAGCCTCCCTGTTCTACCCTGCATGTCTCAAGGCAGCAGAATGCTACATGTATTTCTGCGTAGGGGGCAAACAAATACCTTCCCTACTCTGGTTACAACAATGCTACATGTGTAGGGGGCAAACAAACACCTTCACTACTCTGGTTACATTACTTTCTGTCCCCGAACTGAAGCACAGGCAGCCAACAAAAAAGCTGGCAGCAATTCGTGCCAGAGTAATTTTTTGAAAATCTTCAATATGCCTCAGCCTGTGCCAACACAGAAATTATGCATTTATAAATCACTGACATTTGGAATCTGACTTGGCCTTACAGTATTTTCAAGGTATCCATTGCATGTACCACTTGTATGAACAACTGCTCTATACAAACACAGGTCAGACACTCAGCTACTTCCCTTGTCTGAATTTTACTCAGTTACCAATTATTTTGCTCTGCAGCAAAAGAGAGAAACTCTTTAAGGTAACTCCAGAAGATTTTTAGAAAAGGCCAGTATCTAAGCACTTCCCTCAGTCATGAGGGAAGGAATATAGCAGCAGCTTCCAAAAACATCCAGTATTTAAAAGCAAAAGCTGGAAAACTGCCTATCTGATTTCTTCAAGAGCCACGGTACTTAAGTATGAAAACCCTGCAAGCAAAGTCCGTCGCTTCTCTGAAAATACCTGCAACTCTGTTAAAAAATGTATCATCTTGTAACTCTGCCATTCTTCATTTCAGTTTCTCTGGCCTTTTCCTGACATGAAGGAACAACCTTCACGGCCAAGTTAACAAAAGAGCTGCTACTGGGTGCAGAACATATCCTTAGTGATTCTAGTATTATTTTGACTCCAACAGTGGCTGGAATTGTATTCCAACAGGCAGCATGTATATAATATGGTGATTATGTTGTGTGGGCTTTGCAGGAAATTAGTTTGTTAATATTTCATACCACCAGCATAGCTGTCTGCATGAGTGGCAGGAGGAAAGGAGCACAAACAGAGAAAGAGAACGTGTTTCACCATACCTCACCAAGGTAGATAACTATCTGGAAGAAAGTATCCATCAGCAGGATTCTGTCAGGAAGAATGCTGCTGCTGTCCAATAGCACTGGCTGGGGAAAATGAAAAATGAAGTCAGGCACCCCTAAGCCCTCAGATCTCAGGATGCCAGAGAGCAATTTCTATGCCCATCCAAGTGTAATTTGATACAATCTTGAACAAAAGTATCTTGTCCTTTCATAATTTTTTTTTTAAATAAAAATATAGGGGCCTTTTGGCTGAAATAGTGTTACTCCTACTGAATACTCATTATTTTGGGTTGATTCACCTCTTCCTGGAAAACAGACTCACCTCAGGAGGCCCATGGAAAGAATAAGCATAAAGGATGGGCTGGATCATAATGAGGGACTGGGTCAGATCCTGCCTGGCAAAGTGGTGCCGGTAATAGGAAGATTCATCTGGACTGTTATTGAAGACCTGCAGGAATGGGGAGCGTCGCAGGTGGAAGATGAACTGCACCAGAAGGAGGAGTGAGACAAGAAATGTCAGCCAAAATTGCCAAAACTTCTGGATTCAAGTTCAGTATTTTTGAACAGCAAATTCTTTGGCAAGAAGTCTACCCCTTAATAACTCCTCAGACTTCTTCACTTATCAGTCTCTTGCAGCGCTGAACTACAGGACCAGTCCATTAAATTAAAAAAGCACCTGTTCCTCCCCTCCTGAATCTGATCAATAGCACAAGATGTTTCATCATCATTCCCACACACCCCTGCACACTGTTCCCATGGCTGTGGGAAGTAACATTCTTACCTGAGGATACAAAGAAAATGATTCTGACAGCCTAAAGGAGTTGGGATCATCTTTGTTGTATTGTCCAAATTTCTGACACTGTTGGAAACAAAATGGATACTTCGATTATCTCTCTTTTTTCAATTTTTTTCTTTATTTTTAATAGAATTTACATCTCTTTTTCTACAGGTTCTTCTGTTAATTTTTAAACAATCAAGGCATAAACCTGACAAGAACAAGTACTACAGCATTTACAGGCTATTTTTCTTTAAGTCAGTGATTTCTCTGCCTTACTGGAATGAGAATGAGGATTCAATCTATTTTGATATATATATATATTAATAAAGTCTAGATTTGAAATTATCCAAGAATGAAAGAAATGGTGCCTGTACAGCACTACCCTTTTTTCCATTAAGTCAGGGCTATTACACCTAAACTGTTCTGTACACTATGTAACATTTCTTGCACAACAGCATCAGACCAGTATTGCACCATTTCACTGAAAATAAGTATCAGTGGTTTTAGAAATTAAACTCTAAATGATCCCACAGTCGTTTCAGCACACAGCTTGCCCATGTCTGTGCTTGTGCTCCAATCTCTATTTGACTGGCCCTGGTTTTTTAGAATCTGATGTGCCATGTTGTGTTAGTACCAACCCTACATGGGTGCTTGGACAAAACCAACACTGATTTAGACAATTTGGGCTTGTGGAATTCAAAGCAAGAGACAGTAGGAGGTTGCAGAATTAATTCAGATTACTATCCTGCACTTGGCCCACATCTGAATGCCGTGTCCAGCTTCAGGCTCTCCAGTGCAAGGTAGACATGGATATACTGAATTTGGTAAGGCAGAGGCCACCAAGTTAGTCAGGGTTTGGAGCATTTTATGAAGAAAATGAAGCTGAACAAGCTAGGTTTTTTCAGCCTGGTGAAGCGTGGGATCAGGGAGTCAATTTGCTGTCTGGTAACTGGGGAAATGGAAATTCTGATTGAGAGATAGAGGCAGGGGAGAGAAAAATCAACCAAAACAAAACAGTGACTGTGATCAGTCTTGGATCAGGCTGTGAAGCATAAGAAATTCCATCTTTGGAGATGTTCAAAACACAGCTGAACAAGACTTGGAGCAAGCTGCTCTAACTTCAAAGTTGGTCCTGCTTTAAGCAGGAGGGTTGAACCAGTGACCATCCCACCTGCATTTTTCTGTGTTTCACTATCCCTTATTCAATTTCAGGTTTAACCCTTTCAGCATGATGGGATGTTCACCTATCCCATCCTAAATTTACCAGTCACACTGGGTTCTGAGTTATTCCATGCTACAGCTATGTAACCATGATCAAAGCACAAACAAAGCAAGTAAAATCTGGAAAAAAATTGCTGTTGTCTCTTCCACTTTTACTGAAATGAAGAATGCCCCCAAGCTCAGTGTGTTGGTCTTACCAGCCTGATGAGCTGCCTGTCCAGCCAACGCAGAACATCAGGTCCCTCCTCAGACTCAGCCCTGTACACTCCCAGCCGTGCCATGAGCACGGCAGCTGCCTCCTGGTCAAACGCAGCCTCGATGTGCTGGAGCTGAGTCTGTGCATCTGCCCAGCTGCAGGGTTAGCAAAGGGTTAGTGCCACGTGCATCCATGTGTGCCAATGCATGCAACAAAAAGCCAGGAATCCCAGCACAGACTGGAGCTGAAGCTGCTGCCACTCTGCCAGAGCACTGGCACAGGGTACTCACTTTCTGGCTATGGTGGTGACACGAATGCGCCTCTGGGTGCTGGAGTGTTGATACTGAGTGACAAACTGTACTGCCCCTCTGCCTCCCTGAGGGATGGGTGCATTGTGCTGCAAATGAAAGAAGGTCAGCCTTCAAAACATGATGGCTTTTCCATAACTCTTCCCAGTTGTAACAAGCCCCCACAGCACATAAAAGAAAATGACACATGCAAAAAAAAATCTGGAATTATTTCCTCATCATAAAACACTTGGCTGCTTTGAACCATCCACCTGCAACACAGGGGGTGCCATTGCATTTTCTGGACCTGTATCAAGTAGTTTGATGAGTTAAAAAAGATGATTAAAAAAAAAAAAACAAAAAGGAGAAGCCAGGACTGACCTGATTTACCACTTCAAAGTAAATGGCCAGAGTTGTACTGGGATCCAGACTACAGATTTTCCATTGAGATGTCCCTCCAATTCCAAGTTCCTGCACAGAATCAAAAAGAAAACAGCAATTTTCCTCCAGCAGCAGGAAAGGCTAGCTTATGTTAAATTCTGATCAGAGGTACAAATAATAGCAGGCCTTCTAGATTCCTTATCTTTTGGGTGTGAATTGTTACTGAAGGCCATACAGTTAAAAGAAAGCCTTAGGAAGTGAGAATTTAGTCTAGGAAAGGCTGTAATTTCCTAGGGATGTTTCCTGGAAAACTGTGACGTTCCAGTTCAACTGTAGGTCTGGACAGAATTTTATATTTATTTTTTTTGTTAAAGATCTTTCCATGTCACTAACTTACATTTTCAGAGACACATGGTCCTTTAGCATTCAGGGATATACATGGTCCAATGGCTCCTGCAATTTTCAGCTCCCTGGAGGTCTTTAACAAGGTGAAAAAAAATTTATTTTTTCTTTTCATAATGTCAGTCAAACAGAATACACAGAGTCTAAATGAGTTGCTCATGGTATTTTCCCAGACCATCCACTGCTACAATTAGTGAAGGTAAGAGAATCTACAGAGCCACATTTTAATAATGAAGATATATTTATATTTATAATGTTCCTTGTTGAGTGAGGAGAGGCTGCTTTAAAATAAAACAAAAACAAACCAAACAAACAAAACAAAAAACCCAAACAGCAACCAAAAAAAAAAATAAAACCAGAAAATTACTAAGCTTCCAAATAAAAATCCCTCCAGTACAGTGCTTCTCCCAAAGAAGCACTACATCTGACCTCAAACATGCAGAGATTCCTACACCTCAAACCTCCTAGAGACTTAAACTGACTTTTTAATCAACAGCACTTGTGTTTCCTCATTAGTGTGATCCAATCAAACTCATCTCTCACCTTCACATCCAGATTTGCACCAAAAGCCATCCGAAATTCCCCATTGTAGCCTTTGCTAAATACCCGCTGGAAGGTCTGCTTGAAGAGAGAAGTGTTGAAGGAGTCTCCCATCACCATGTGTCCTCTGGGAAAAAATAAAACAAGGGAACTGAAGTAATTGGGAACTAGAAGTACAAAGGATACATCCCTGAACCTCTGACACGTGCAAACACATGCAGTTACTGCTTTAGAGCATGCCTTTGCATAGGCAGGATTCACACCAGGGAGTGCAGATTCATGGGTGCCTCCTACAAAGCCACACAGGTTAGTGCTCCACCTTTGTTTGCTTTCTCAACTCTACTTCTTCCCATTGCTTCAGCCTTCAAAAAGTTTGTGTTTCAACCCTGGAAAGCTCTTTGCTCGGCCTGCTTTCCCTGAGCAGGGCTGGAACCACTCACACCACACCAGGGGTGGCTGCAGCACAAGGAAGGTGCTGGGCTTCCCCTAAGTGCCCTGGCAAACCCAGGCCTGACCAGATTCAGCTCAGTAACACATCCACAGGGTCAAACAGTCTCTCTTCTCCCTGCTGAGCACTGAGGGGTTATTTACAAACACCTTGCACTTGCAGTACGACATGCCAAGTCTCCAAAAGGCCTGGGCTAACACACAGCCTTCCTCACAGAGACAATTTCCAGCAGTATGGAACACAGACATCTACCCCTTAAGACATGTCACTTAAAACTGGGCCCAGGGAAGTCAAGAATCCCTAGAGAAAGCATAAGCGAGCTGTTAAGCAGAGCAAATCTGTCCCACACAAGGAAAGTTTCTACCCACCATTGAGTTTTCTAACAGCAGTGCTAATTCACATGCTGCTTTGAGACTCCAGAAATGTGGACTGAGATCAGGTGAGGCTTGCCATATAATTCCTGGCAAATTCAAACCACAGTTTAGAACAGAACAATAAAAACCCTTCTGCCCTGACAGCACACTTAACTGCTTTCTGAACCATTCTCCCCCCTCCAAAAAAAAACAAACCAAAAAGCAGGTGCCAGTTGTTTGCTGGCCTGCTGTGAACATACCCAGTGAGGTTTGCACAGCACTTCATCTCCAGCAGCCCTGTCTGGTCCAGGGCACAGGCGTAGATGTCGATGCAGTGCCCATTGGCCGCAGAGCGGTTGGCCAGAGTCTCGTAGTGCTGGGAACACACACCCAGGGGTTAGGAGTGCAATGTCTGATTTCTGCTGCTCCCCACCTCAGGCCAGCACACAGTACAGATGGGGCAATCACCAGTGCAGTGGTAACTAAAGAGGTGTTGGCTGCAGCACACTGCTCCCTTTCTAGGATGAGGGATGCATTCGGATGAGCCTGAGTTTATTGTCTCAAATACAAAGAGTGCATAAATGACATGGGATCATCTAGTCTGTGATGACATGGTGGGAACTCAAAGATATCCAGATGATAGTTAAGAGAACAGGTGTCATCCTGCTTTCTCTAAGCTGACAGGCACATTTCATATCTGACATTTCTACTATTTTAATGGTTGTTTTTTTATGTCAAGAACACAAAGGAGGCTTTCTGGAAATAACCAGTTCTTGGGAGATTTTCTTGTTTCCAAAAGGGGATACAATGATGAGGATGAACAAACTCTCCACCCACCACCAGCTAAGAAACAACACTGAAATACTTTATTCTCTGAGAAGGCACCAGACCATGATGGAGAACTAGGAGGAAGCTTTTTTACCCTTCCCTTAACTGCCCTCATAATTTAGCATACACAAAGACTCGGATTATTTCAAGGACAACCACAAGCCCAGAATGTAGTGTTCTGACACAACATTCAGTTTCAGCTTTTAAACACACCCATCAAGCCCTAGTACCTACTTTGGTGGCCTTCTTCATGAACCTTGCATTATCCTTCTCTATGTCATGCCAGGAACGGATGGGTGTTTTCAGCTCATCTCCTACCACCATGCCTGGCCCTTGTGTTGGTGGCCCTCCTGTGAACAGCATAATCCTGGCCCCTGTGTTTGGAAAAGTGCCCTAAAATAAAAACAAAGACTTAGAGAGCAGGGGGAATAAAAAAAAAAGGAAACTGATTAAATGACAACGACGTTTTCTTTACAGAAGGGTCTGCACGAGCTTCTACCTGTCCCTGCTAGAGGCAACCTCAATAAATAGTGATACAATTCCTGACAGTCACAGCACTCAGATAATGTTTAAACTCAAACCATGCCTAGCTTCATGTCTTCAAAACAGGAAGCAGACAGTTTCTGTTCTCTTTACTTATATGTTATATTCAGATAAATCTAGTGCATAGTATCACCTCTTGTGTGGCAACACACACAAGAATCAGAGACCTTTAAACAACTGCAAATATTACAATTTAAATGGAACCTTCCAGCCCACTCTACATCAGCTGGTACTAGCACAGTGCGAATGTCAGTAGAGACAAACTGCACCTCTGCACCCCACTGTAACCCAGCTGCACTGACACCTGCACTCATCTCAGCAAGCATGGTCATTGTGCTCACTTTGACCTGCTCATCTCAAGCAACAGCATTAGAAGTACCTCCAATAAGCCAACTGCAATTGAAAGAGCCACTCCAGTAGAACGTAAGGGTCTCTTTCCCTGGGTCACTGGCCATGGGTCCCTTTGCAGCTCTCCAAGCAGATCTGTTAAATTCATGTCAATTTTATGCACTGGCTGTAGGAACCTGCAAAAATTCAAATACAGTGTTTTACTGCTTCTAAGTTCAGAGAAGAAAAAACATGCCTCTTTGTTCCTGGCACACATAAATTGCACTGAAACAGTAATCAAAAGTAAAGAGACACGCAGCAGGTTGTGTTCTTACATCCAAACTTTCCAAGATAACAAGCCTGTGCAAAATAAAAAATTTGATCAAAGCAAGACATCAATAACTGACAAGAAGGCAAAGTCACATAAAGAACAGGAAAGACGTTCAAAGGTGAGTTTGCTGAAAGGCATGAGAGCTCCCACTGAAAAAGAGAAGCTGAGAAAGAGAAAACTGTGTTCAGTGGAGGTAAATTACTATGACAAGACAACACCATTTAAATCTTCTTTCCCCTCTCAGGAAACCCATGGTTAGAAGCATGACCTACAGGCATCAAGGGGAATAAAATGTCTGCCCTGCTGTGTGCTGTGCTGAAGCTTACCTGCTGGAAATAACAGGTTGCTCTGGAGTTTGAAGAGGTCTTCCCTGTTGCATAGGGACAGCTGGTCTTGAAAGCCCAAGCATATCCTAAGAACAGTAAAGAGGAGGCAGAGGAGATGTACTATTCAAAGACTACACACATAGTTTATATTATTACTTAATGTACCCTAAGGCCTGCAATACTGCAGCATTAAATATACTTAAATCTGTAAAATTATTCATCTTTGCACTACCATTAGGAATGGATCATGGGTCCATTATGTGAGATACACAAACTCAATCTTGAACAAGCTTCCAAGAAATTTACAAAGGCAAAAAGACAGGACAAATACTGGGAGAGCAACAGCCTCACAGCTGAGAGCACTAAGCCCTCCTTTCTCCCCGAGAGCCCAGTGCTTGAGAGTCCAACAGAGCTGAGAGGTACAAGCCCCTGGTCTGAGGGATGGCAGAACAGCCAGGGATGGCAGAGCACACCTGTATTTGCTTGGCTGCCAGGTCCTTGGTGCCCCGGAACACGTAGCTCTTGGAAATCCCTTCACAGCTCAGCTCGTGAACCTGGACCATCCTGCCAAAAGTGATGAGCCCCACCAGGGCATCGGGAGGCAGCAGGCTCAGGGACATCTGCAGGGACTCCTTCAGGGCCTGCAAATCCTCCTCTTCCAAACACGTGTCCACAACATACAGGAAGATCAACGGCGTCTGTGGACCTCGCTGATGCGGGAAGAAACAACATTTTATAAAGCCTCCAGCCAAGGAATAAAATGAGCCCCTCCTTAAGCACCTTGCAGACATGGCACTTATTTGCATTATCCTAAGAAAATTTTACACATATATCATTTGTCACAACCAAGACAATTCTGAGAGCTTCAAACTCGCCTGTGGCTTATTTACCTGCACTATATATTCAATTGTTGAAAACTGAGGCATAAGTTCTGCTGGCTGATTGACTTCAGAAATGCCCGCATATGCTGGGGGGAACTGAAAAAGAGAACAAAAAATTAGGACAAGGAAGTTGCAGGACAAAAATGTAGGGCTCTCCTCTGCAGCACACAGCCTGCCCTGCTGATGATGTGGTTATTCAACCTTTTTTTTACTGCCACTGCATCAACCTGATTAATTCAGGACAAGAAACCCAAAGTGATTTTTGTCCAGGATGGACAGCTGCTCAATCCAGTGTAAATAAAAGGTAAGGCTGCAGCAACAACAATGTATTAGTCGAAATTCTTTCAGCCATAGTTTCTGATGGCAAAAGTCTACTCAAATGAATTCTGCAGGAATAGTAAATATCAAATGCAAAAAACCACACTAGGATACATGGAACAAAACAGCATTTTTATCACCTTACTATGCTCTGTATGCCAGTAAAATCACTGACAAGATGTCAGGTAAAGTAGACTGTACTATGGCCTGGGCTCAGCAAGAGAAGAGGGCCAGGGGAAGTGATCTAGAGAAAAAAATTTATGTTTAATGTCCAGGAAAGGCCATTCAGTGTTCACTGAAAACGTGGAAGCACTTTTCCCAACTTACCTGGTTTCTCTGGAAACAGAAGTTACAAGCCCAAAGCTTGGCCCGATAGTCAACTTGGCTGCAAGGGAAAAATGAGACATTAGTGTGACTTCAGGAACAATTTTACAGCACAGCTTCACAATAAATTCATTAATCCATGCTGGTTCACAGCACTGAGGAAGAAGCAGACATTCCAGCTTGAACAGCAAGTGCTTTAGGAACTCAGACTCTCCTATTTCCAGGAAATTCATTAGCTAATCCAGCTCTGCCATTTCCAGGCTTGTCAGCAAGAAGGACCACTGACAAATCTCTGAAGCTCAGCCCCTGGCAGACACAGACTTGGGCCTAATAACTCTTTCACTACGCTTAGGCTCTTGTCATTGTCTTATTGTTTGTGCTGCTGTAGCACACAAGTGCTCCAGTCTCAGAGCAGCAGGAACCATCCACCCAGATCTTGTGCAAACACAGAACAGGTTATTCTCTGTCCCACAGAGTTTACTCTCCTCAGCCCAGTACTACATCCTGCTAGTGCAGGATGCCTCGCCACGTTCTCATTCCATGGCTTTGATCTCATTTCACTTCCTCTTACTGGCATTCCCTGCTTCTCAGCCCAATACCATGCTCTGAGTATGCATGATCATCACGTGATTTTGGGACCGAGATATTCCTCTAAAACTATTTCATTATGCTTATACTGGAACTGACCTACAAGCAGCAGGATGTGTAGGAAGCAGGAAAACAAATGACCACAGTCCAGAGCACAATATCAGTATAATGGGCATCTTTGTTTATTATGAGTCCTCATTCCCACAAAATTCTCTGGGATGGCGAGAGGACTCTCTGCCTTAAGAGCCTCCCCAAAGACCCTCCTGTCCCCTCTGTTCTTTCCAGTTCTAGTAACAGGCATGTTGATGTATGGATTTTAACAAGCCCACCACATCTAAATGAAACAGGCTGCCATGCATTGGGCAGAGAAAAAGGGGAATAAGGAAGTAGTGAAGTTTAGATGAAAATTAGGCACTATCCAGCCTCTTCCATCATCCCCAGCCGAGCAATTCCTACCAGAGTGGGTTGAGCACAGCTTTGCAGGTGGGCCTGCTGCAAAGCACCGGTTCGTACTGCACAGGGGGCAGGTCCAGACGCTCCTTCAGCGGGGTCAGGAGACAGGCCAGGGGCACAACCATCCTTGTGGCCTCCAGCCTGCTGGAGGGCCACACATTCCAGCTGAAGCGCACTCCGTCACGCTCCTCATTCTGCTGGATGAACTCCAGGTACGTCGCCATGGCCCTGCAAAAGCTCTGGAAGGACAGAAGAAGGCACACTCAGGCAGCAGCCATTTGGACAACAGACCCACAAAGGAGCTCAGCAGATCAACTACAGGTGGGGGCACAAGAGACTGCAGAACAAAGACAACACAGTACACTGAATTAATCCCATTATCAAATGAACCATGTGACTCCATTAATCTCTTCTGTCCAGTGCTCTCGTCAACATTACAGCCAATTAAAACACAACCAAATCCAACAAATAAACTAGGGAAGCTGACAATCAAAGTCAGAATGCAAGAGGTTTGTTTTTTACTTATGATTCACGTCTAACATCTCAAAATCCAATCAGCCTCATGCTGGCCTCAAGGCAATCCTTCCTGACTGGGTCAGTAAAGGAAAAGAGGCCAGATTTGCAACACATCCTGGAGCCTTCAGCTGAAACATTGCAGGGAGAAAAGGGGCCAAGTCTGAGACCAAAACAATCACAAACGTCACCAAGCTGCCAGTCTGACCTGCTTACAATGGGAAAGGAGTACATGACAAAATGTCAAAAAAGGTCTTTTGGATACCCACTCTGCATAGCATCATTGCTCCACTGCCAGTAAGGAAGGAACTGAGAGTCCAGAAGACATCAGAAAACATAAAGGAAGAATATCACCATCACAACAGAGGAGTCAGTCTCTGTGTTTCCTTACTAAACTTTTCAAAATAAGACACAAACAAGAGCTTCCAGGCCATCATTACTTTTGATTTCTCTGAGAAAGGCAAGGAGGACAAGCCTATTAAAACACTTACATGTTAAATCCAGACCACAAACACCACACAGCACTAGCATTAACTCACAGAGCCAAAAGCAGCAGCTCCACGACCTGCTTCAGACAAGGAAACTCAGAGATTCACCTACAGCTGCAGATGCTCTAAGATTACCCTGCTCCTGGTCCTCAGTGCAGGTGGGATATCCAGGAGGGCCACACACATGAGAAATTGGAAGCAACACCTCCCTTCAGAGGAGGGGAAGTGTTGGTGTAACTGACATTCTCCTCTTCCTTGCTATTAAGGATGTAAATCAAGCTTAGGGAGAATTGCCCCATGTTTCCACCCCCCTCACTGGATGGACAAACAGAAGGGTTGGCAACACATCCCCACCACAAGCAGGTCTCTCAAGGTGAAAGTCAGAGCTGAGTCTGACTGTAAAAGATCCTGCACATCAGAACAGCAAAACAAACATTTGACATCTCAGGTATGCAGCAGAGCCACAGGGCAAATTTATTCCATGTTTCTCCAGCTGCAGCCCAGCACCACTTCCCTGCCCCAGGCAGAGGCACGACTGCCATGCTGGGTTTGCCATGGGCTGTAGCTTGATTTTGGGGTCAGGACAGCGGGAGGACAGGTGCCATCACCCAGCTGCTGAGCTCGGCATGGCTATAGGGGCATGCTCCCCATCCCCCGAGCAGCCATAGGCGCCACCTCTGCCCCCCAGACCACTGATCCCCCAGCACGGCCATAGGGCAGAGCACCGACCCGCTGCACTGCTGCAGGCGGCACTGCTGACCCTCCACAGGGGACAGTGACCCCAGCCCTGCCCTGGGCGACACTGCCGACCCCAGCCGGCCAAAGCGAACGCCGCCAAGCCCGTGCCGCTCTGTGGGCCACTGCTGACCCCCAGGAAAGGAGCGCACCAGGGGACACCACCGACCACGCTCAACACCCCTTCAGGGACACCTCCCAGACCCTCCTGCAGGGGACGCCCCCGACCCCTTTCCCCTCACAGGGGCCGTCACTGACCGCCTCACACC